ATAGTAGTAAAGGTGGAGGTGAGGGGTCTCTGAAGTTCAGGACCTCCGATTGGCTGACATTTGTATAGGGGTGTCCTGGTGAGGTGCAGTGCTGGCAAGTGATCCTATCTACAGTAGTTGGAATGTTAGGCATTTTCTTTGAATGGTCTGCTCCTGGGCGGTGGTCTAGTAATCTCAGTTTGCAGTTTTTTTCCTGCTACCAGGTATTGCTTTAGGGTAAATTACTGAGACTTGGGCCTCTTATTAAATTTATCAAGGGCTGAGTTCTACTCTGGCAGGTGATAATGGTTGAAAGAAAGAACTTCCTTTGGGTGACCTGCCCAGACTTAGTTTATCATGGCTGGCCTCCACATGTGTAAAGGTCTTTTCATGTAGCCTAAGCTGGTCAGGAACCTGATTCTTCCTCTCCCAAGTGTTGCAGTTATGGGCTTATACATTACTGCTCCTGGTAGTATATTTATTTATTTAAGCATTGACTTTCACACTCAGTGGGAGTGTCAATATAAAATTTATCAGGGCTGCCTGTCAGCAAGGATGCCAAGATGAAAGAACGGAAACCCAGTACTTACACTAACACCTGGACCTTCCAGGCCTCAGTGCCCCTCCCCCATATTTGCTTACTTTATCAGCACCAGAGATGCACCACACATAAGCACTCTCATTCTGGTTACAAACTTTACAGTGAAGATAGCTGTATTTTGGTTCCAATAACTGAAAATAAAGAGAAAGGGGAGTCTATAACTAATGGGGTGGGGCAGGGTGGAGTCTAGATCCTCAGTTCCCAATTGATAGCCTAAATGAAACAATTACTTCTGGGTCTCACTTTCATCTATTCTTTATGCAGTTCCATTAATTTAGCTTTGGGCCTTGTTCAAGGATAACATTTCCAGTCCATTTCCCTTGACACCAACATCTCCCAACATAAAAACCTAGGTTCACTTTTCACACACTTGAAGCTCGCTGTCCCTCATGACCGGCAGTAGTGACAAGACTTAAGCTAGATTCCACACCCTCTTGTATCAAAGCTTGAAAAACATCCAGACTGTGTAGGGAAAGTACATGCTTCTAGAACTCTACCTTCCTCATCAAAAGGTAGAAATGAGCCAGTTAGCACTTACTGCTCTGGAAATGGAAGGAGGGAAGATAAGGAGAGGGCTTGGGGAGAGAGAAGCTGCTGTCTAGCTGGAAGCTGAGCTTCCCAAGGGGACTATGACCGGTTTACCACAAGCCAGCTTACTTTTCCTGTCCTGAGGGCTGGGGGTAGCTTCCTCCCTGACTTCCTTCATCTGTGGGAATCTCTTCTGTTTGTTACTGTTTGGCCTCAATGTAGGTGGCAGCAGCTGCCTGTTCTCTTCAGGTCCCCATAGTCTCATTCTTGGGTAGATGGATCAAGGTTCTCTGCTAAACTTCTGTGAACTTCCTGAGCCTGGTTCAGAGGGTTCTGAACTGCTGTGTAGGGTATGAGGAGGGCCCAGTGAGCACTGCACCAAGCCCACGCAAAGGCTCACCTATACACCCATCCACTTAGTGTTAGCCTTGCATAGCTGTTACCACCAGGCAAACATCCAGGCAAACGCTAACTTGGCCCCTCTCTTGGGGACCTGTCAGAGGCAGAGTGGCAGGCAACCCCTGCATGCAGTCAGACAGTACCCTGGCCAGCCTGGGGACCTATAACTGTTAACTCACTGTGAACTTTGTATGCAGGTGTGAAGGCCCCTTTAAGAGATAAGCTCCACCTACTCTCTTTCTGTCTCTCTCTCTGTCTCTGTCTTTCTGCCATTTCTCTGAGGAGGCAGGTCACTGTCTTTCTGTCCTCCTCCCTCCTCCCTTCTCCCAGTAAACTTCCTTCCCATTTAAGTTCCACCTAATGACCTGTTTGTCCATCATTGTCTCCCTGCTCCATCTCCCCTAGACCCCCATGGGATCCACGGTTCTACCTGGTGCCACATATCATTACAGCCTTAGACTCAGGTTGAGGTTCATCTGGGTAGAATAGCCTGAAGCTGAGCCCTATTGTAGGGGTACACACAGGACTCAGAGGCATTTGCTGGTACCATGTGCACTGGCCTGGCTAGGAAAACGGGAGGACTCATGTTTTGTCTCCAGAGGCTAGGGCGACTCAAAGGCTGTGTGCTCACATTGCCTTGGTGTAAGTCATAGGAAATTCGGACAAAGGGCTCCATTGGGGTAGTTTCCTCCTGGAGTTTGGGTTCTTGTTCTGCTTTTGGCCCTCACTTCTCCCTTCCTCCTTGTAGATCTGATTCAGGTTCACCCAGGTTTCATTTATTCCAGAGTGGGAGCTGCCCCCCTAGCTCCCTAACTGAAGCAGGGCCCTATCCGTGTGACTACTAATTGTTTTCCTACCTTCTCAATTTACAGTTTTCAATTTTTTTCTCAAGGCTTTTTTTTTTTAATTTCTGTCTTCTGCAGCAGGCTTTAATTAGTTATTTCACTCATGGGGGTGTCCTGGTGAAAGGGGGATGGGTGCATGGGAGCTGTGGAGTGTTAGGTATTTTCTCTTGGATGGTCTGTTCCTGGGTGGTGCCTAAGTGGTCTTTCTCAGAATCAGGTATTGCCTTAGGGTAAAATGAAATTTAGGCCTCTTTGGAGCTTGTCATGTCTGGGCTCTACAGTGACTATTTTTTTTTTTTTGGTTGTTGTTGTTGTTGATCTTGTATTGGTTGGTGAGACTATAAATTAGTATATGTTATGATTTTCATCTCTCTAAGAGGCAAGTCATGCCCACTCCCAGCAACCCCTGCCCTTCCCCACATCTTGGACTCTCTCTGTCTCCTCTCAGTGCGCATGCATGCATGTCTCTATCGGGTCCTTCTCTGTCTCTCTCCTTTTCTTTCTTTCTTTCTCTCTCCTCTAAGTAATAAATATACAATTCTATTCTGTACTATGTGTCTGCCCATGTGCCTTCCTTCTACCCACTGCCTGCTCACACCATGGTGGGACCAGCCACCTGCTCACACCATGGCAGGACCAGCCTGCTCAGCTGCTCACCTCGCTGAGACCAACAACCGCTCGGAGGATCTTGCAGGGATTGCAGCTGTCTCTGTCTGGGACTGGCTGCTCCCAGAGCCCGCTGCCTGCCTACTGCCACCGGGGACCCACCAACATTTTTTTAAAAAATCACAAAATTATAGGTATTATGGAAAACAACACAGAGCTTTCTCAAGAATTAAAAATAGGAGAACAGGAAAGATGACTCAGTGGCTAAGAGTGTACAGTGTTCTTACCAACTTCAATGCCCAGCACCCACATTGGGTGACTCACAAACAACTGCAACTCTAGATACAGAGTAATTAACACACACTCTTTGAACTGTAACCTGCACTTATATGCAAAGACACACATATGCACACACAATTTTAAAAATATGTAAGCAAATCTTTAAAATAAATTAGAACTACCAGATTATCTAGCAATCCCACTATGTATGTGTATAGTCAAAGAAAGTAAAATCAAGACCTTAATAAAGTCTGTACTCCATGTTCATCCAAGAGTCAAACCATGGAAGCAACAGAAGTGTCAAGTGAGTAAAGACACTGTCATCATGAGAATTTCATTTACTCATGAAACAAAAATGAGAAAACAGGTTTTGTAATGCCAGAACTTGGAAGGCTGAGGCAGGAGACTCACAAGTTTGAGACCAGTCTGACTATTCATCCAAATACTGCTTCGCTTGCTTTTTTTTTTGTTCTGGATGAACCTGGAGGACATTGTCTTAAGTGCAATAAGCTAGAAAAATACCTTTTATGTCATCTCACATGTAAAATCTATAAGAACTCAAATACATAATTACCAGGGGGTGGTGTTATTCAAAGGGTATAAAGGTGGATGAGTAAGCCTAGAACTCTAAAGCACAGGATGACGACTATAGCTCAAAACTGTCCGTGTAAGATCATAGCTACAGCTCTCACAAATGAGAGTCAGTTTATTCGGGAGGCAAATCTGAGTCATCATGGCCCAGAAACACAAATAAGGTTATCCCAAATTCTGTGTTCCAATGTGGAGGTTGTTTTGTGAGGTATCTATAGTTAAAGAACAACGAAAGTCACAAAACAATGCATTTTAAAAAAATGCATTGATGGAGCTGGAGAGATGGCTTAGTCATTCAAGGCTAGGCTCACCAGAGAGATGGGTACAGGCAGGGAGGGATCTCAGCTACAAGTCTCAGATGATATCTGATAGCATTCATTGGACCTTTGGTTGGTTTTGTTAGTACAGTCAAAAGTTTGTGTTTTTAATCTGTTCATTACTATATTAGCTCCCACACCACAAAGTGGGCGAAGAATACATCTTTAGGGAACTAATGACAGCATGAGATAAATTTTAATTAGACTCTGGGTGCAACATTCCAAACCCTCCACGGTCATTGAGTTTTATTCAACAATGAAATGGCACGGTACGATTGGTAATAAAAGATTCGCCAGACTAGCTTAATACAAAATATACAGCTTTAATAAACAGAAGAAAGGAAACTTAAAAAACCAGGGTTCCAGTGATCCAGGAACACAGAGGGCAAAGAGAAGGAGGCGAGCACACCTGGATCTTTTATTTGTTTTGTGTGGCCCCAGGGGGACACACCCTAAGCAGAATGAGATTGGCTGAAGTTCCCCATCACAACAACCTCTGTAGACATAGACTTTTCACAGGGATTCCCACTCACACAACACTGTACCACATCAGAGATATGCTAAGACAATAGATTTTTGTCCTCTCTATCACACACCTATATATAGACAGTAACTATGAGAATGTGTGCTACGCTAACTCTGTTACTTGTATTTATTATTCTATACATTCTATAGAAGGAGAAAAGATTACTTTTCCTAGGCATATCTCAGTCCCTCTATAATGCATGATAAATAACTTCTCTATTCCATCAGCCTGCAAGACTGTGTGTGTATTTCAAAATAGCCAGTATGGTTCCTGTTTCAGCACAATACAGTCACACCCCTTATGCAAAATAAAATATACCAAATTAGAACCTAGTATCTGCAGATTAGCACCCGGAATCTCACCAGCACAGACACTGGACTGAGTAAGTCCTTCGCTCTCAACATGTTTGACCTGGACTCCTGGCCTCACACTCCTCACAGTATCCTGCTGCTGGCCCTACTACTAGGACTCTCAGGTGAGCATGCTCAGGAGTACAACAGTATCTCCTGTATGAAAGGGAAAGTACTGACTCAGGACCACCAAGTTCAAGTTCTCAGACCCAGTTCTCAGGACAAAGATTTATTTGCCCCAGAGGGACAGAGGGTAGGGATAAGAAACAATGACAGGAAACAGAGAAAGAGGGAAAGGGAACCACAGAAAAAGAGCTGGGATATTTGTCCTGGAGGGACAAAGTACTGTCTCTTGATAAAGAGGAGACAGATGTGGCACATAGGAAAATGTCATTTTATAAAGGAAAAACTGTAAACCCTGTGTTAGAAAGAAGTGCTTAAGTTTAATTGGGCATGTTAATTAGGTGAGCCCAAGAAGGTTTTTGATTACTGGATTTTAATGCATTGATAGCAGAACGTTGGCAGTCAGCCTCAGAAAAAGGGATTGTCCAAATACTGGAACAGACCTTAGGGGACTAGCTTCAGGAATGTAATCTGATGGTTTTTAGCAAGGCAGAAAGAACTGGAGAGAAAGTCAATGTCTGTTAGAGCCACATGCTCCAGGGGGCTAGTGTCCCCTTCACTGTGAATAGAACTGAAGGGTTCCAGGTAAACAACAGAACTGCCACAGGAGAGAAGCTCAGAACATTGTTTATTTTCTAGAGGCAGTGTCTGAAGCACTGCTCTGTGAGTCCATGGGTTGCCACAGGAAACCAGAAAATCATTAAAAACCAATAAAAATTTTTTAACATTACAGCTAACAAATTTACTTATGTAGAACCCCCATGTAACTCTGAGTCCCATCAGAAACAGCATGTCAGTTCCAAAGCAGTTGATGGCCTGTCTCCACACTCAGCACTCTCTGCTCACTTCCTGAGTCAAGTCATTGCCATGGCTAGAGGGAAGTGTCTCTGGCAATGCTCAACCACCAGCCTTCCCACTAAGTTTTCTCATTCTGTCCTCCAGTTCCTTCCTCATCTGACCACAAACTACTCACTGAGTGCTGCTACTTTGAGAGGCTGTATTATTATTTTGTCTTACTAGTGCTTGTGTTTTATTGCTAGGCTTGACATGGCATTGTACCACAGACTGGTAATCAATACAATATACATTTATTTCCTCATAGTTCTGGAGGTTGGAAATTCAGGGTCAAGATGACCACTAAGATACTTTTTTTCCATGAAGATCTTCACCAACCCCGCATCAGACAAAGGTCTGATGTCCAAAGTATATAAAGAACTCAAGAAAATAGACATTAGAACTCTAATTAACCCAAATAAAAAAATGGGGTACTGAACTGAACAGAGCATTCTCAACAGAAGTTCAAACGGCCAAAAGACACTTAAGGTCATGCTCAACCTCCTTAGCGATCAGGGAAATGCAAATCAAAACAACTTTGAAATACCATCTTACACCTGTCAGAATGGCTAAAATCAAAAACACCAATGATAGCCTATGCTGGAGAAGATGGGGAGCAAGGGGAACACTCATCCATTGTTGGTGGGAATGCAAACTTGTGCAACCACTTTGGAGATCAGTATGGCAGTTTCTCAGGAAACTGGGAGTAAACCTACCTCAGGATCCAGCAATTCCACTCTTGGGAATATATTCAAGAGATGCCCAATCATACTACAAAAGCATTTGTTCAACTATGTTTATAGCAACATTATTTGTAATAGCCAGAACCTAGAAACAACCTAGGCGCGCCTCTCCTATTATAAATTATACCTTCTCCTACTCTCCACACAGAATCTTACTTCAGACTGTCTCTGTGGATCTTCTGTTTCCTGAAATGAAACCAGTCACATTAGATTAAGATCCACCTTAATTGATATTTACTCCTTCAAAGACCCTGTTTCAAATATAGTCACATTATTAGGTACTGGGCTATGGCTTTGATATGTAGAGTATAAGCAATTCATCTATACCAGGTACTCACACATCCCTAATCTTGTTAATAGTCTCCAGGGAGCTTTGTTTCCCTTCATCTCATGGTAAGGATTATTGACACTGTGAGTGGTCCCTGCTCATGATTCTCAAAGGTTGTTTGTCCTCCGTTCCTTCTTTGTCCATGAGAAAAACTTGATGGCTTCAGGTCAGGGCTTATCAGCCCTCAGGCTCCTCACTTTGGTTAGGGGATCTATTGTGTCGTCTAATAATAGAAGTCAAACTTTTAATATGTCCTCACTATACTCCCACTGAAACTGATACTAGCAATAATTGATGAGTCCTTCTTATGATTTTAGCACTTCCTGAAGCTTTTTGTTTTTAATTTTTTCAAATTAATATATAATTACATCTTTTTTCCCTAGTCCCATTCTCTAATTCATTGACTGTTTCTTTAACTGTTCTCACTCTCTCCCTCACTCTCCTTATATGCATATCTCCTATGTATCTCTATTTTTGTCTCTTTCAAACACCCCACACACACACACACTCCTAAATATATAAAAACAATTTTCTCAATTCATATACTGTTACTGGAATAAGGACAACACCAATACACATGATAGCATTAAAGGTGAATATTTCACTGACAGACATTGTGTGTCCTTGCTGTCTTTATATTCACATTTCAGTCTTGCTTTGCATTATTGATGTCTCCCTACAGTCTCCAATGCAAAAGAATAGCCAAAAGATTGAAATTTCTAAAATGTGGTATTTAGGGCAACTTTGGTTTTTATTGGCTAATTAATCTTAGCAATTTACTTCAGTATTGTGGACTTTTCTAGTACAAATGTTATACTTTGAGTATGAAATATACCCACAAATTTATGTATTAAAGCCTTTATTCTCAATTGGATGGCACTGCTACAAGAGATAATTTGGTGTTTGAAGATAAGGTGGACATGTGCAATACTGTCCCAATATACACTGTCTTCATGAGGAGATTCTACCTCCCCTGAGACCACAGCAATGGAGACAGTCAGCACTGTGATCCCTTAACTCTCTGAAACACGAAGACAGAGGTAAATATTTATTTCATTGTATCACTGCCCTTAGTTGGGTATTTTTCAAATTGATAAGAAGCTAACTTAGCAAACTATAATTATTAACAAATCCACATCTGTATTTAGAGTTAGATGCAGCTCCATAATCTGGACCAAGGACCATGGCACTATGCAGATACCCAGTGTCAGTGAATGGTCCATGACCCAGAAAAATCAGCTGAGGAATTACTTTTCAATGTCATGAGCATGAGCAGTCGCCATGTCCTAACTACTGTACGATGTACTCCACTGTTCTACCTCATATGGGCCTACATGTCAGGTTAATACTCGTGTCACACTGCCACGGACACAGAAGAAGCAGAAGCACAAACAACCATGATAGCAATGTCTAGAGCTGTAGTTTGAATTCAGGCTGATTGACTGAGGTCATAGGATTAGCAATCACTCTTCCCAGAGAATTTGATCTATCCCATGAGCTTTAACTGGTGAAATGAGGACAGGGTCTATGGGTCTCTCCTCCTGTACTCTTCAGCTTCCTCCTTACATGCAAACAGTTTTTATTTGGAAATTCATTCACATGGGAAACAAGGTTTCTATTTCTACATAAATTAGCAATTTCAAATGGGTTTGAGTAACATGGAAACATGCACATTGAGCAAATCACACATATGGGAGTATTTATTGAGTCGTGACTATGAGGCAGAGACTATTGACAAAAGGTATCCACTATCCTTCACTTTTCTCTTTTTTGCTGAAATGCTTTTCTCCTGCATCATGTGGTAACTGACAGGCTTGAGTGTGGCTGTCGTTGTTCTCCTGGATATAATGAACATTGAAGTTGCAAACTCTGTGGTAGTGTTCTGGGTTTTCTGTGGACTCATGGATGAGGGTATGAAACTATCTACCTTCCACAAGCCTAACTGTATGAAGTCAGAAACTCTTCCTTTGCTTAGATAGTACACAGTTACTGCAGCCTGGACTCTAGAGATGGGACAGAGAAGAAGGATGGAGTTTTTCCCAAGCAAAGCTGCTGTGTAGAATCCAGCTGGTCTCCCTAAATCAGCTAAAGTCTGGAAGGACTGAATGCTCCTACTAGCTGTGATCATCTACATCCATGCAAACAGAGTTAACTGAGATTCTCAAATCCACTCTGCAAAACTGATTCCATGCACATCAAGACTTAGTTTAGCTTTCTGTGCTCTTCTCCCAGATACACAAGGTCCTAGTCACTCACTTGATGACTTTCTTCTCTCTCTCTCATAGTTGGTTGCCTCAAGGAGCAGTTGGCTACTGCTTTAGTTCTTTGTGAAAGATGAAGTGGGTTCTGAGGCATATGGCATTGACTTTTAAATCTCCCCATATTTACCATCTCATTTTTATAGAATCAAATTACTTTGTAAGTATCAAAGACATTATTTCATTTTAGTTTCTATTAATTATGTTACAGCATCATTGCTAATAAGAAATGTTACAAAGGAATGGCTACTACTCATGTGTCATGTTAAGCAAGTCTATTGGAAAAGCAAGCCATACATACTGTTTCTACACTTTTTGTTTCATCTCTGTCTCTACATTTTAGGTCCCATTGCTCAATAAAATTTGAAATTACAATTTTGTTTTTAAATACAATAAATCAGTCCAAGGAATTTTGAGAGTTGTTACAGTTTTCAAATTCTGGACTTACTTTATCTTAGTACAAAAGCGAATTAGGTCTTTTTTAATCTTTGTGATATTTTCTAAAAAAAAAAAAAACTTTGGTCTAAGAATTTAGGATTTTCAGTTTGAAAAATTGTAGAACTTTGAGAATTTTTTTGTAATTTTTGTACATAGTTATGCCAAAAAATAAATTATTATATGGGCTCATATAGTCTACCCTATTCCCATTATTTTTCCCATATTTCATTTTTTAATCAGTAAGTATTCTAAGACTATCAACATGCTTGTTAGATTTGGTATTACTCACTATACAAGGTTTTAACTTCACAAAGTTGTCCTTTGCTTTTGGTTTCAGGTATCAAGGGAAGCAGATTTTCCACATCAGATATTCTTGTTCGAGACCCGGCAGTGATGTGGGGTCTCAGACCATCTTCCACCTTCCTAGCAGTTATAGGTGTATGGTCTTCCCTAAAGCTATTAATGAGAACTACAAAGTAGAAGATTAGAGTCACCATTGTCAAACACTAAGTATAATTTTGGAGCTCAGGACGCTTTATGAAATTTTAAAATTCAGAGTACAGTCAGAGTTGGATTGTCTTTAAAACCAGGCATATTCTTTGGGATTCTTTATTTCAACACAAGGAAAACCTACTAGTACTTCTGGCAGGGCAGTTATTAATATCTCCAAACAGGTATCATTGTAATAAACTCAGATTTTTAACTAGGGAGAACATGTTGTCTCTCTTGTGTTGGTCCCATAGTTTTGCACTATAGGGAATCCTGGGGTTTATTTAAATTCTGGATGTATTTTCTCTTTTAAAACTGTGACTATACACACTATCTCATTGCCTCCTGGATGCTAACATTTCTGATAAGAACTGTGTTCATACCATTTTGCAGGATGAGATGAGTCATGCTCTAGGCTGCTCTCAGCATTCTCTTACTATACTGCTTTTGTCTGCTGGATTCTAGCATCTGCTGGTGTGTGTTTCTCTGAGTATATCTCACATCAAATTAGATCAGTTGTTGGACTTATAATTCTTATATTTTAATAAACCAGGAATGTTTTATACAGCAGTTTTTTCCCAATAATCTTGCCACTACACTCCAAATTCTTCAACTTCTCTTTATTGTACCTCTGCCCCTGCAGTGCTGCCTGAGTAATGTTATGGTACAAATTTCCATGATTTTGCATTTTTTGTAACCTGCTAAATCCTCTGTGGACCCTGTCCATTGGACTAATAAATTATATGCCCCAAATATGTTGACTCATGAGTTGACTCCTCAATATCATTTGGTTCCTTCTCATAGTTTCTCTCAGTTTGGTGTTAGATTTTGCTATTCAGACTCTTCACTTTCTTTAGTACTTTTCCTTACTTTCCTTTTGCTCTTTTCATATCCCAAATGAATGTTGCACAGTCTTGGTCCAGTAGTATAGTACAGTGCAGTACAATGCAGTCCTACAAGTTCACCAAAGTCCCAGCAAGAAGGGGACAGATGTGTCAGTTATGGGACTTAAGAGTAACTGAGTAAATAGGGTGCTGTAATGGGAAAACAGGTAAGAGAGAGTGTCCCCAAGTAACCATATCATGTGCAAGGGGACAAACATGGCCTCCTGGAGGGTAGGGCACTGTGACCCCTTGATAGCGGCCATGTCACACCAAACTAGAACTTCTGACCTCTAAAGCATGAAATAAAATGTTTCTGTTGCGTCAAGTCATTAACTTTGTAGGAATCTGTTATGTCATCCTTGAAGTTAATATAATGTTGGAGCCAGAGAGAGATAGTTTGGAGGTTAAGACCACTTGCTATTCTTCCATGGGACTCAGGTTTAATTCTGAGCACCCACATAGTGGTTTATAACTATGTATAATTTAACTTCCAAGGTCCCTCTTCTAGATTCCTTGACCACTTGGCATATGTTTGGTACACAGACTTATGTGGAAGAAAAATACCAATATGCATGAAATTAATTAATTAATGTGATAATAATACATATTTTAAAAACTGGTAACTTAAAACAGGGTTTTATTTCTCTAATTATGTGCATGTTATTGCATGTTGGGAAATATCTACAGCATTATCACTCCACCTGATAAAGCAACTCCCCCCGACTTGGGGTCTGACCTAGAATCTGGTAATCAAATGTACATCTCACTAACTATACCTCACAGTTAATATTTACATCTCGCTGTTCTCAGTCATGTAATCACACACAGTATTATTATATCAGAAGTGCAACATGCCATGTGCACAAAAAATAAAAAACAAACTGATACTGGCATGAGAATTTCAAATAGATTTGGGGTTTCATGAAAATATTGTCAAGTATTCAGTGTCTCTGTGATTGATTTTCTCATCTGTTACATTTGTAACATTTGGGCTAAGAGGCCCAAGTGAGGGGAACTGTGGTCACCTCATGCTGAGGTCTAGTTTATAACAGTATTTGATGACAAACTAGAGGAGCCTGTGGGTTTATGTCATGATGAGCACTAACTGATGTTTCCTGCAGGAGCAGCTACACAGGAGCTGAAGGTGATTCAGCCTGAGACATCAGTTTCTGTCCATGCTGGAGAGACAGCCACTCTGAACTGCACTGTGACCTCTCTGCGTCCTCTGGGGCCCATTAAGTGGTTCAGGGGCACAGGACAGAGTCGGCAACTAATATATGCTTTCTCAGGAGAGAAGTTTCCCAGAGTCACAAATGTTACAGATGTGACAAAGAGAAACAACCTGGACTTTTCCATCCGCATCAGTAATGTCACACCTGCTGACGCTGGTACCTACTACTGTGTGAAGTTTGGCATAACATACTCTAACAGGGATATTTGGTCGGGGGGAGGCACGGTGCTGTATGTGCTTGGTAAGTACTGCCTTGTCCTCCTCATCCCTCATATCTCCAACAGGTCAAATGTGTCCAAGATTGTGTATTCAGCAATGAAGAAGCAAGCCTGTAAGTGACCCTCATGCTCATAGGGTGACTTTACCTAGCTGTGGGCCAAGGAAGCTGAGGAGAGGACATACTATGTGCTAGCAGTGCCATTTCTGGTAAATGGGGGCAAACCCATATCTTTGTCTGCCTCACAATACCTTTTTCTCAATCCATCCCAGTCTAGAGGTTACATAAAGACAGCTGATGCTGTGTTCAGTGACATGGACAAACCTGGCCTACCACCTCCACAGTGTCTTACCTCACCCAATTAAGTCTTCTCTTTCTGCCAGACAACGTGGCCTAGTGTATGCCAGATTCCATTCTAGATGTCAAACAGATAGCAAGAAGCAAGCAAGCATGAGCTCTTTCCCCAAGATGAGTGCCTCCTCCCTCCCAAGGGGAAAATAAATCAAGGCAAAAAGTGGCAAGCCCAGGGCACAGTATGATTTTCTTACTTGTTCTTTGTTCACAGCACACTGAGTTTGGTATATGCCCACATTCACTGTGGAATCTCTCACCCTTGGTTTACAACTTTGTCTTGGGTCTCTCTGGAAACATTTTGCATCCTACTTGCACAGGCACTGGAGGTTCTGGACAATGTAGATCTAAGTCCTGGAGTTGGTCTCCATGTAGATGATATCCAATCACCAGCGTAGGTATCAGGACATTCACTTTGAACTTCCTGACAGAGGCCTGAAGTCTTATTTCTTGGTCTTGATTCTGGCGATTTTACAGCAGGAAGTATAGTCAGATTATCCAGTCCATCCCTGTTTGAGATGTGAACCCAGTTTGCCAGTGCCCTGTTCATGATCACATAGCCAGCTGATTCTGGGATCTGGCCTTGAATGTACATCTGACTCCAGGCCAGATTCTTATAGTCCAAGCAAGGAACACTGTCTCCATTTAGCAGCCTGGTACATATGAGATGCTGAGTCAGAATATTTCAAACTCAACCATAATTTCCATTCATCATCAGATCCCCAAGGTTTCAAGATATTCCTCACATTCAGATGCTAACAGTAGTGGTGGGAAAGTTACACCAATGTAGCCATACTATCACTCCATATTAGAAGTGAGAACTATTCCTTGTATAAACAAAGCTTCATAGTCCAGCAGCTAGAGACAAACTAATAAAGATCTCAGATCATGAATGTTTCATTTGTTTCAATTCATTGCCACTAAAACAATGCTACAGTAAAGGAACTTGTATACCAGCAGTCCAGGCAACAAGGAGACCTGCTGCATTTGAAGGTGAATTAGTTTATAAGGATGTTACCATTTTCCTACCTGGGTATGGTATAGGAAGTCTTCTCACAAGACTTCCCTCAATAGAGAGAGACAAGAGGAGTGACTTTATCCTGACACTATTGATGCCATAAATAAAGACACCAATGTTCTAGGTAATGTAATGCCTGGGCAACTACAACCAGCAAGTGGCTCAGTCAATGTACAATCCATAGACTTCCATTGATACTAGAGTTATCTGACATGTCATTGTCCCTCAGGGGACATCATCATCATCATCCCTTGATGAGAAAGTAGATGGAAAGAGGGAAATGAAATAGCAGTGTGCTATGTGCTTCATGTCTGTTATTTTGTTTTCTACCTAAACATGTTCTTTAGAGGAGAGGTCACTTCTTCCCTTTAGAGAAGAAAGCCCTAAGGTTCAAAGAGGTCTCATGAGTGGTGAGCAGGTGAGAAAGAGTCAAGTTTGACTAAATCACTCTGCCTCATAGAGTAACACAGCATACATGGTATTCCTCCTACATAGCTTATTCTCTCTGAATGGCAGAAGCATAGTACATAGCTGCCTCTTGTGTCCAGTCTTGAAAATGTGAGCTATTGTAACATGAAGGGGCCTGCTTGTTGGGGTTTCTGTCCCACCTGGTACGCCACAGCTGGCAAGCCACAAAGAAAATCACACAGAGGTCTCCATAAGTTATAAAACTGATTGGCCTATTAGCTCAGGCTACTTATTAGCTCTTGTAGCTTATATTAACCCATTATTCTCATCTATGTCAATTTAGTAAGAAGATCCCTAAGAAAGAGGAGGATGTCAGGGTACAGAACAGTGTTTCTCAGCCTGTGGTTCACGACCCATCTGCTGGTTGAAAAAAACTTTTACAGCAGTCTCATATCAGATATTTGCATTATGATTTATAAAAGTAGTAAAATTACAGTTATGAAGCAGTAACAAAAATTTTATGGTTGATGGTCACCACCACATGAGAAACTGTGTTAAAAGTTGCAGCATTAGAAAGGTTGAGAACTACTAGTATAGAGGCTCTGCTTCTCACATAGGTTTTACAGAGTAGGGGCAGGAACAATCTAGAGGTATGCCATTTTATGCCTTTATGAAGTTTGCTGCAGCTTTCAGTGGCAAAGAATAAATATATGATCTCACATCTAGTTACAGCTGCCTTGATACATAGGATTTGCAAGCACATACTTACACAAAGGATTCTACCTTCATTTTCATTTTTATGGTGATATTTTGTTCAGTTTTTATGGAAGGGGACTTTGATTTTCATTATATAAAGATTGAGATTCACCTGTTGGGGTGAGATGAATTTTGTCATTTGGCCTATGTAAATTGTCCACCCACATGCAATTTGGTATTAATCCCACGAATGGTTTGGTCACTGGAAACTGAACAATGCCAAGATGACCAGAAATTCCTCATAAATAGTGACTGGCCCCTCAAACCTGGAGGGACATCAGGCATGCTCATGTTTAGATAGACTGACTTCAAACAACACTTGATCACACTCCTGGTTTGATGCACATCTGAGGAGCCACATATGTAGAAATACAAATGTGTGTGATATTTCCAAATGCAGCCTGTCACAATACTAACCTCAGCACAGGACATCTGCACAGCACACTGCCTTCCTCCCACTAGTCCACTCAAATGTATGTTTTCAACCAGGGAGTGTTACTGTCTGTTCAACAAACAGTAGACACTTCTGTCTGTGTCTCTTATCATTAACACTGAGGACATGTGTTAATGATAACACCTTTTAGCTTTTTCTACAGATGGTAATCACTGTTTTCAACCTCAAACTAAGTCTGACTGAAGCCCATTTAGAGATACAGACTAGTGAAATCTTATGGTAAATTCAGGCTTGGCACAGATGAGATCTATTAGTGTGTAGGTAAAAGAAGAAAAAACAAATGACTGGGAGAAGTAGAAAGGGTTCCAGCTTTGTGGCCCTTTTGTCATGCTATTTCCTGAGTTACTATAAATGTAAATCTAAAAATATTTTCCCTAGATTTCCAGAGGAAGCCAGCAGAACAGACGGTAGAAAATATAAAATACATTGATAATTGCCTTCCTTTGTCCAGACTGAGAATTCCACCAGGCTTTGCCCTTCCTCATTTACTGGTGGGGATCTTTGCTAAACTACAGAGACCAAAGAACAAAGGATACAACAGAAGGACAAATCTTGTTCAAAAAAACAAACAAACAAAAAACAAAGCAAAGAGGATAAATAGTTAATGTCTGTGTCTGGAGCACAGCTATCACCATGGAGTAGAGCAGGTTCTTAGTATGGCTGAAGCTCTGGTATTGACCCCAAGCACCACAACAAACAATGATAATGGGGATAATGTATATGAAGGTTCCTCACAATGTTATATCAACAGTGGTGGCCATCACAATCACACCCTCGTCTATATGCTCCTTTGCAGCTAAACCATCTCCTCCTATGGTCTCGGGCCCTGCAGCCAGAGTTGCTCCTGGGCATACAGTGAACTACACATGCAAGTCCTATGGCTTCTCCCCTCGGAACATCACATTGAAGTGGTTCAAGGACAGAAATGAGCTCTCTCACTTCCAAACTACTGTGGATCCCAAAGAACAAAGCATCTCCTACAATATCTCCAGCACAGCCCAAGTAGTGCTGAGTGCTGGGGATGTCCACTCTCAGATCACCTGTGAAGTGGCCCATGACACCTTGCAAGGAGGCCGGCTTCGTGGAATTGCCAAATTATCTGACATCGTTCGAGGTAAATGACTCTGAAACAAGCTCAAGCTCTTATTCTTTCAGAATAGTTTGGCCCATAGTTCCCAGCAAGCATTCATGCATACCACACAGGAGAATCATAGAATGCGACCATCACATAACAGAAACTGTATTTATTTTAACAGAAGTAATTTCAGTTGTACTGATTAGGAGCCACACACTAATTCCTGGCATTTTCATCCATTTTACTATTGTTACTGCTTTCTCAGTGCACCTGGGAGTTGTGCTTATTTACTTCACTTATTGTGACACCCTGTGCACCTGTGTGATAGGAGCTATGTTTGGGGGCTCTCCTCTGGCACACATAATCAATCTGTCCCCATGATGAACTTGCAATGAGAATGGTTCCTCCATACTTCAACTTCCCTTCTGGGGTCTTTCTCTATGTAGGCTTTAAAGTTTCAGCTTCTGATTGTATTGTTTCAGTTTCACCCACCCTGGAGATCAGTGAGCAGCCATCAGTGGTATGGAATCTGATAGGTGTCACCTGCCAGGTGAATAAGTTCTACCCTTCAAGGCTTCGGTTGACTTGGTTAGAGAATGGAAATATATCCCATATAGAAGACCCTTCTACATTCACAGTAAACAAGGATGGAACCTACAGCTGGACCAGCCGGCACCTAGTGAATGTATCTGCCCATGAGGAGGACATAATACTCACCTGCCAAGTTGAGCATGATCAACAGCCACCAGAAATAAAAACTCATACTGTGATGGTCAGTGCATGTCAGAGGGAACAAGGTATTAGCACCATGTCTGGTAAGGTCTCTACCCAAACTTCTTGGCTGTTTGTAAATTTTTCCTCTTTTTTGAATGTCAAAGGTAGCATTTTGATTATTGTATGATAATCCCAATATCTACAACCTAAGTAGAAATTAAAGTGAGTTATCATTGCCAACTTCTCATGGGTCTCTTGTGTTAACATTCACAGATATTAAATAAGTGAGACAGGAAGGCATCATCCTACTCTAGAATCCTACCTGTTGCCTTTTTACCCTAACGTTTGTTATATCATGTTCATCTTCTTCTTCCTTTTCAATGCCTTCCCTGTCTCCATTCCATTTTACACTTTTCTATGAATATCTGGGTCTTCACTCAGTGTCCTATGCTACCTCTTGAATGTAATTCCAACAGACCTACTGAGGACCTGCAGTTTTACTGTAGATTGGCAACTCACTTGACTGTTAGTGATCATACCAGGGGTCTCATTTCCTCCTGTTTTGTTATAATGGACAAATATCTATGTATACAGGCCATGAATCCACACATACTACATGAAGCTTTCAATTTTGCTGTCATCTCTTGCTCTTCATTAATTACCTAATGAGTCATCAGTTTTATAGACAGTAAATCTATGGGTGGAGAAGCAATAGAGATGTTGAGTTCTTACCCTGAGACCGTGTGATCTGGTCTAATGTAATGAGGGGAAATCTAAGGCCCCTGGAAGCATGGTCATCAAGAGTTCATAAGGCAAATTTTTCTAGTTAAGTATCTCTCATTGACTTGTTACTATCCTAGGACTTAGAGTTAGAGAACACTTTATATAAGTATGTCTTATTTCCAAATCATTGAATACCAGACATGGCTATAAACTCCTATGACTTTTTAAAACCTCAAGTTCCTTGTCATACAACCTTTGTTGTGAGTTTTATCTGATGGATAAATGATAGGTCAACCAAATAACCATTATATCACCATTAGAACAGTAAAGATTAGAAATTACGAGCTCCCTTAGAGTAGGAAATATATAGATGCTACATAATTATACCTTCTGATGGACTCTGTCATGTATGTTCATACACTTGCAAGTGTAGTTCACAATGGGTGTTCAGGTAAATAAGAATATTTTCATTCAAATCCAATACCATAATCATATTCAATGAAATTAACTATAAATCCCAACAATATTTCAAATGAACTGTCTTCAAAATTACTTTATAGACTTTTTTGTGTGCAACAAAATTAGGTTATTCAAAAAGTATGACTTTCCACAGTTTGCCCAATAACAAATAAGTTTAGAACTTTTTGTCTATTTTGTGTGAGTTTTCAAACTTTTGCTATAAAGTTTATTAGATGATCACATTGTCCTTTTAAAGTCTAAGTGTATGTGTAACTATGATAATGCTCCTTTCTCAGTACTGATGTAGAAAATTTGTCACATCCCTTTTATTTCATCAGTCTTTCTGGAAGATTTCCAATATTTACTTTTCACAAAACAGAATTCTTTCAGTAATCATATCTACTTTTTCAGTTTATATTTCATTGATTTTCTACTGCTCTTTCTTCAAAATTGCTACAAAAATTTTGGAAAATGCCTTATGGGTCAACAAATGATCGAAGGAAATTGGTATCCTGTCATGGGATTCTTAGAACCATTCATTTAAGAATGGACTCAAAGGACGGGAAGTCCAATGATAATTTAATTGGAGTTTAAAAATAAAAACACATCTCTTGTGCAGGCAAACTCTAAATCTCATCAGATTCTCAGAGTTTGGTAGTGTAGAAAAGAATGGGAAAGCAAAACTAGAAACAATTAAACAATCAAACAAAAAATCCCATGCTATTCTAGCCAGCACAAAATTTAATCACAGGGTGAACAACAAATGGGGAGGGAGCTATAGAAAAATAATAGTGCCGTCAATAGTATCAGATAAAGCAAGTTTAGGTTCTGGCAGGCCCTGAAAGAAAGATGAAAACAGGAAAAGAAAAGGTGGTTCCTTCTTAGTCAAGCCTCAGAAAGGTGAACTACATTGCTGCTCAGCTAGGAAAAACTGTATTGTAAAAAGGAATACTTTTATTTAACTTGCCTTCCTAGAGCCCAAGTTGACATTCTATTCTTTTTTTGGTTTTTGAGATAGAGTTTCTATGTAGTTTTGAAATCTGTTCTGGAACTGGCTCTTGTATACCGTCAGGCCTTGAACTCACAGAGATCCACCTGCCTCTGCCTCCCAAGTGCTGGGATTAAAGACTTGCACCACCACCACCCAGCTGAGATTCTGTTTTCTTGATGTGACATTTACTTGTCTTTTCTTGCTATTCTAAGGGTAGTATTTACTTCATTCTGCTTGTTTCTGATTTAATTTGGTCTTTTTGGTTTCATTGAGGTGCAAGGCAATTCACTGCACTGCTTGGAACAAAGAATTATCTTTCTATGAATAACTATTTTCTGCCAATTTAGTTTAAATAATTATACCTCTACCACAAGCCCTGGGAACAATGGCCATTAGAGTTGGGATCTTCAGTGCCAGACAGTTTAGTAATCAAATTCCAAATTCTTTTATTTAAGTGTATTATCCAGACTACTCTTCCATGTAAGAATTCCAAGGAAATATTCTATGGTGAATGTAGGAAGGCAGAACACTGTGGACATTAAACCAGGTATGAAATAGGCTGTGTAATTGAGAGATCCATGGGATCATAGTGCAGGGACAACAAAAGACACAGCAGCTCCTCAGAGAGCTGAGTCATGGGATGGCCACTGAGAATTCTTTCGAGATGAACAGGAGGGAAGAGGCAATAGAATTCATAACTCAATTCTGCTGGGTATCTGTTGGGTAAATCAAGTTGGGTATCTGCTTCTTCCTAAGGCCCCATCAAGACCATTTTCATTCTTGTTTGTTTTGTCTTTGTTATTGTTTGTTTGTTTGTGTTATCAGGAAATGTTATAGTTTTATTTTAAACTCAGGTAAAGAAATGTGTTGTTTAGTATGAAATTTCAGGATACACAAGGAAAGTCAATTCAAGAACTCAAACATCACACCCACAGTTAAAAGCAGAGAAAAACAAATGTAAACATAATTATCTGTTTGCTGTGTGATGCTCACCTAACTTCCTTCACTCTTCTTACACAGTGTGGAATCCTATGTCTAATGAAATGGTGCCACTCACACTCATAGTGGTCTTTACCATCTCAACTAACAAGATAATCTGCCACAGATACACTAACAGGTCAACCATATCTATACAATTTCTTAGCAGAAATGTTCTTCCTAAGAAAGTCTAGCTTGAGGTCGGTGGTCATTTACAACTACCTATTATAGAGAATGTCACAGGAAACCTGAGCTAGTAAGACTCACACATATGATTCTTTTATTTACATCTTGCTAGTATTAGTATTATAGGTAATGGTTACTAAAGTGTTTACTTATTGTTGCTGTTGTTGTTATTGTTACTGCTGTTGTTGTAGTTGCTATTGTGCTAGGGATTGAACCTAGGAACCCAACTAACCTTACATTTTAGGCAATCACTACAATCAATGTACAACCTAATCAGCCTATTTCTATTCCTAAAACAAAATTTTAACCTTTGATTAATTTCTAAATTAAAAACACCACTTCCTGAAAAACCAAAAAATTTTAGAAGACATCTACACTGGGGTGGACATGGGTTCTATAATGGCTGAGGCATCAGACCATAACATCTATTCTCAGAGACACATCTATAGAGTCTTGATTCTTCATCTGCATGTTTTCAGCAAGTGCTTTGATCAGGCTGTTTGCCAATTTACCAGGCTCCATTATGCCACGAATTTGGATTTTTTTCAGGATTCTTTTATATCAACAAGGTACTGTGTCAACTATCTTTCTTCCAAAGGACCATCTTTGTGTGCATGTCCTGTCACAGCTATTACTGGGCAACTGAGAGACTGAGCCTGTCTTGTCTAAGGACAGTGTCCCAGGGATCATCCTAAATACCAGCAGTGAGAAGCTTCTCTGAATCCCACTAACCTTGTGAGCCTACTTACAGATAAGCTTCCACAATGAAGAGTAAATAGTAATACTTAAACCATAATAGTTCAAATAGATCAAAATATGGGTGATCAAGGCCCAGGAACACAGATTTAGGTCACCTTAAAGGCCACTGTAGAAGAACTTTAAGCAATTTTTTGCAGGAGAAGCTATAAGTTAAGACACTTTTGCGTTGCATTGGTAGAAATATGGAAGAGGTGGGTTACAACACAGCAGCAGAGAACCCTGTTAGAGGTTTCAGATGTCATTTGATGACACCCTTGGTATCTTGGTTGGTGGAAGTTGCTAAGTTAACACATTCTAAAGGAAAACTAATACTCTGCTTGTGCATTCAAATTATTTGAATTCTCACAAAGCTGTTGTGTCAAGTACAGAGGAAAGCAATATATGGCTATTAAGAGGGTTGAATATGGCCCCAGATAATTTGGTTCTGGACTTGCAACATGCCAAACTCTCCAATTCATTAAATTCCAAATAGTTAATAATAATTACAAAAGGTACAGTTTGAAGGTTCAGCTTCTTTATGGAAACTTTTGTTCATAAAAATAAATGCTATGTGGCATTGAGTACAAATTCTTACCCATTCCCTCTAGAAGGGCAACTTGGTAACCTGTGGTAGGACCATTGGGGAACTAGAAATCTCTTTACTGCATCTTCTTTGAAGTATTGAAGCTGGGATAGGGAAGAGATTCAAACTCCTCAGAATTTTAATGGGCTTGGGAGTGCACAAATGGCTCAGGTAAAGGTCTCTGATGATAAACTCCATGTGCCCTCTCTGTTCCTCCTACCACTTGATTTCCAGAACTGGACACATCAAATACTGCTGAAATACTTGTAGCTGTGCTCCTTGGACCCAAGCTGCTACTGGTAATTGGTGCCTCTGTCATCTACATGCACAAGAAGCAGAAGGCCTAAGTGTAAGTTAGGAGGGATGGAGTGGGTATTAATTACTATCTGTTGATGTGACAACATAGCACAATGAAAATAATTTATAGAAAAAAGGGGGTAATATGATCTTACTGTTCCAGCAGCATATGAATCCATCAAGTCTAAGAAGCATAGAAAGCAGATAAGGGAACTAAGAGCTGACATCCTCGGTGGAGAGCATGAAATATAGAAAATAAACTGGAAATGTGACAAGTCTTTTTAATATCAAAGCCCACCTCCTTGACATACATTCTCTGAAAGGGCTGTGCTACCTAAACCTCACCAAAAAGTAATACTGACTGGAAAACAAGTGTTTAAATATCCTAGAATATAGAGAATATTTCTTTTTTTGAGGGAAAGAAAATTTTAATAACATACTTACTAACAGAGCATTTTAAGCTCCCCTGTGTGCTAGATCATATTCCAATAGATTTTTCTACATGAACTCTTAATTTGTATCATTCTACCATTTTCCCTACATAGTAACCTTGGAGTTATGTGTTCCTTCGCTATCTATCTCAGGCTCATATGCACTTGACCTTGAAATATTTTTTATATTTTATTGCTTTTATTGATATATATATGCATATATATATACATATATATTCCCCACTACCCTTCCTTCCTCCTTTCTCCCCTTTCACTCTCACTCTCTGCCCCTCCCCAATGCTCCCAGTTGACTTAGGAAATCTTGTCTTTTTCTCCTTTCTAGGCAGATTCATGTATTTTTCTCTTAGAGTTTTCTTTCTTGTCTAGGTTCACTGAGGTTGTAGACTGTAGGCTGGTCATTCTTTGCTTTATGTCTAAAAGCCACTATGAGTGAGTACATATTATATTTGTCTTTCTGGGTCTGGATTATCTCACTCAGTATGGTTTTTTTCTAATTCTAACCATTTGTCTGCAAATTTCAAGTTGTCATTTTTTTAACCATTGAGTAGTACTCCATTGAGTAAATGTACCACATTTGCTTTATCCATTCTTTAGTTGAGACGCATCAAGATTGTTTCCAGGTCTGGCTATTACAAATAATATTACAAATCATGCGATGAACATGATTAAGCCAATGTCCTTGTGGTATGATTGAGCATCCTTTGGGTATATGCCTAAGAGTGGTATTTCTGGGTCTTGAAATAGAATAATTCCTAATTTTCTGAGAGGTTGCTATACTAATTTCCAAAGCAATTGTACAAGTTTGCACTCCCACCAGCAATGGAAGAGTATTGTCCTTACTCCACATCCTCTCCAGCACAAGTTGTTGTCAGTCATTTTGATCTTGGCCATTCTGACAGGTGTAAGATGGTATATCAGAGTTGTTTTGATTTGCATTTCTCTGATGACTAAGGATATTGAGCATTTCCTTAAGTGTCTTTTGACTTTTTGAGATTCTTCTGTTAAGAGTTCTCTATTAAGGTATGTACCCTATTTTTAATTGGATTTTTTGTTCTTTTAATATCTAGTTTCTTGAGTTCGTTGTATATTTTGGAGATCAGTCCTCCATCAGATGTGAGGTTGGAAAAGATCCTTTCCCATTCCGTAGGCTGTCATATTTTCTTATTGACCATGTCCTTCGCAGTATAGAAACTTCTCAGTTTCAAGAGGTCCCATTAATTGATTGTTTCTCCCAGTGTCTGTGCTACTGAAGTTATATTTAGGAAGTGGTCTCCTGTGTCTATGTGTTCCAGGTTACTCCCCACTTTCTCTTCTGTGAGATTCAGTGTGGTTGGTTTAACATTGAGTTCTTTGACCCATTTGGACTTGAGTTTTGTGCATGGAGATAAATATGGGTCTACTTTCATTCTTCTACATGTTGATATACAGTCATGCCAGCATCATTTGTTGAGATGCTTTCTTTTTTTTTCGTTTTATAATTTTAGCTTCTTAGTCAAAAAATCAGGTGTTTATAGGTGTGTAGATTGATATCTGGGCCTTCAATTTGATTCCATTTTGTCCTCCTGTCTTTTTATGCCAATACCAAGCTGTTTTCATTACTGTAGCTCTATACTAAAGTTTGAAGTCACGGACAGTTGATGCCTCCAGAAGTTCCTTTATTATACCAGATTGTTTTGGCTATTCTGGGTGTTTTGTTTTTCCATATGAAGTAGAGTATTGTTTTTGAGGTCTTGTAGAATTTTATGGGATTTTGATCGGCATTGCATTGAATCTGTAGATTGCTTTTGGTAAGATTGCCATTTTTGCTATTTTAATTCTACCTAACCAAGAGCATGGGAGATTTTCCCATTTTCTGATGTCTTCTACAGCAAAGATTTAAAGTTCTTTTCATACAGGTCTTTCACTTGTTTTGCTACAGTGACCTCAAGATACTTTATGTCATCTGTGGCTATTGTAAAAGGTGATGTTTTTCTGATTTCTTTCTCAGACAACTTATCATCTGTGTATAGGAGGGCTGTTGATTTTTTTGAGTTAATCTTATATCCTGATATACTACTAAAGGTGTTTATCAATTGTAGGAGTTCCCTGGTAGTATTTTTTGGGTCACTTATGTGTACTATCATATCATCAGCAAAGAGTGAAAGTTTGACTTTGTTTCCAATCTGAGTTCCCTTTATCTCCATTTTTGCCTTATTGTTCTGGCTAGAACTTCAAGCACTACATTGAATAGATATGGAGAGAGTAGATGGCCTTGTCTTGCTCCTGGTTTCAGTAGGATCACTTTGAGTTTATCTCCATCAGTTTGAAGTTAGCTGTTAATTTTTTGTATGTTGCCTTTATTATGTTCAGGTATGTTCCTTATATTCCAGCTCTTTCCAAGACCTTTGTTATAAAGGGGTGTTGAATTTTGTCCAAGGCTTTTTCAACATCAAATGAGATGATCATATGTTTTTTTTTCATTTTGCTTGTTTATTTGTTTATTTTTTTTTCTTTGAGGCAGGGTTTCTCTGTAGCTTTGGAGCTTTTCCTAGCACTCATTCTGTAGACCAGGCTGGCTTTAAATTCACAGAGATCTGCCTGTCTCTCAATTTGTTTATATGGTGGGTTATATTGAGGGATTTTCATTTGTTGAACCATCCCTGCATCTCTGGGTTGAAGCCTGCTTGGTCATGGTGGATAATTTTTCTGATGTGTTCTCATATTCGATTTGCCAGTATTTTATTGAGTATTTTTGCAACAATGTTCATGAGGGAGATTGGTCTGTAATTTTTTTTCTTAGTTTTGTCTTAGTGTGGTTTGGGTATCACCTTGTAAAAAGAGTTTTGCAATGTTCCTTCTGTTACTATTGTTTGGAAAATTTGAGTATTGGTGTCAGTTCTTTTTTGTGGACACTTTTTATTTCTATTTGCATTCCATACAAATATAAATATATTTATGTAGCATAGTATGGTGTTATGCATATACACTTTGAAATGATCAAATCAGAACAATTAGTACACCCATCACTAAATATTTACAAATTATTTGTAGTAAGAACATTCAATATGCTCCCCTCCAGTTACCTAGAAATATACAATGGATGCTACTAACTGTTCACATTCTACAGGACTTTCATCTCCCATCAAAGTATGCCAGTATATCCCTCAGTCAGTCTGTGCCCTGCTTCCCTTCCCCAAACCCTCTCTACCCTATCCTTAGCTCTACTCTCTTCTTATAGGAGATCTATGTTTTGAATTCCCAGAGGAACCTCTTATTCTTATTCATACTACTTGTTTAGATTTGTAATTTTGTACTTGATTATTCATTGAAAGATCTTTGGGAGCCAAGACTATGCTCTTCCTAGTGACCACACAATAGCTTTTAAGCAATTATTTCTTCTGTGAATCAATAAACGAAGGAAACTATAGCCCCACGGTTATTCTAGTGAAAACGTTCACTTTAAGATAGCATGTATTTTTATCAACTGTGAAAAATAAAATAAGCTATGGTTTCTAGTAATTTTGTAAATGAGGTTTATCTTTGCATCTCAGAAGTTTTCTTAGTTGAAAAGAATGCTTGCAGCTTTTAGCAGTTTGCAGGTATAAGTGGCTTTGGTTTTAATATGTTCTTAGAATGTGGAGACTTAGATGGTAAACATGTAAGAGCAGGGGCTCTCAACCTTCCTAACACTGTGACCCTTTAATACATTTCCTCATGTTGTGGTGACCCCAATCATAAAACTATTTTTGTAGCTACTTCATAAATTGTCATTTTTCTACTGTTATGAATTGTAATTCAAATATCTGATGTGCAGGATAATTGATATGTGACCCCCAAAAGGTCACATGTGTAACCCACAAACTGAGAACCACTAGATTAGAGAATAAACTTTTGAGTTCTTGGGATAGACCTATATTCATGCTGAGAAGGAGTCAGCAAACATCAGAACACATTGCATCCTGGAAAAGCTCATCTATTTGTACAGTTTAGCTTCTTCGATTTCTATGCACCCTATATTACCTACTAGGCTGAGGATAACATGTCATCTGAAATAACATCAGTCTATATACTAAAAAAAGAAGAGTCAAAAGTGGTAGTGTTTGTCAGAGTCATGGCAACAAAGAGTAGTACTAGCAGAGAACTGCTCTCATTAAAGTTCTAATAAATGGGGCTTTGAGTCATCTTAAAAGAGGAAATAACTGCAAGGGATGATGAGTGCTGAGCTCTAATGAAGCTCACCCTTGAAGAAGAGTGAAGCTGCCAAGGTGTCTTCTTGAAAGCCCTACTTAAGTGATGCCCAACAACCATTGGAGACTCCTGCAGTAACTCTTGATATAATAGGTTAAGCTGTTCCTAATATTGAGGTTTCATTCCCTGTTTTAAGCAAAATATTTAGAACATTTATTAAATGAACTTGTACAGTGTTTGTGGAAATGTCTTGAAGCCAAAGGAACAATTGTTGCCAGCCTAAGCTTTAAAAATTGTCTTGCAAATGGACTATTGACAAGAAACAACAAGAGTGTGCCATTAAAAGTTATGGGAGTTATGAGACTCATAGCTTACTTTACCAGCTAAATTCTATAACGTGTTGGTATCAGTTCTTCTTTGAAAAACCAGTAGAATTTTTTTCTGAACTCATCTGGTCCTGAGCTTTTTTGTTTGGGAGACTTTTGATATTTCCTTAGCGGTTATAGGTCTATTTAGTTTGCTTAACTGGTCTTGATTTAATTTTGGTATGTGATATTTATACAAAAAGTTTCCATTTCCTTTAACTTTTCCAATTTTGTGGAGTACAGATTTTTGAAGTATGACCTGATGATTCTCTGGATTTCCTCCATGTCTGTTGTTATGTTCCCCTTTTAATTTCTGATTTTGTTAATTTGGGTATTCTCTCTCTGCCTTTTCATTAGTTTGGATAAAGCTTTGTCTATTATGTTGATTTTCTTGAAGATCCAACTCTTTGTCTCATTGATTTTTTATATTGTTTTTGTTGTTTCTATTTTGTTGACCAGCTCTCGGTTTGTTTATTTCATGTCATCTAGTAGTTCTGGGTGAGTTTGTTTCTTTTTGTTCTAGGGCTTTAAGGTGTTCTGTTAATTCACTAGTGTGGGGTTTTTTTCAGCTTCTTTATGTAGACATTTATTGCTATAAATTTTCCTCTTAGCACTGCTTTCACTGTGTCACATAAGTTTGGGTATGTTGTATTTTCATTATTTTCATTGAATTTTAGAAAGTCTTTCATTTCTTTCTTTATTTCTTTCTTGATCCAGTGATGATTCAGTTGAGTATTGTTAAGTTTCCATGACTTTGTGTGCTTTCTGCAATTAGTATTTTTGTTGAATTCCAACTTTAAGCCATGATGGCCCAATAAGACACAGTGGGTTGTTTCATTTTTTTTTATATCTGTTGATATTTGTTTTGTTACTGAGAATGTAGTCAATTTTAGAGAAAGTTCCATGAGGTGCTGAAAAGAAGGTATATTCCTTTATGTTTGGGTCAAATGTTCAATAGATGTCTGTTAAGCCCATTTGAGTGATGACATATGTTAGATCCTTTATTTCTCTGTCAAATTTCTGTCTGGTAGACCTGTCCAGTGGTAAGAGTGGTATATTGAAGTCTCCTACTATTAGTGTGTGGAGTTTGATGTGTGATTTAAGCATTAGTAATGTTCCTTTTAAAAATAAGGGTGCCCTTGTATTTGGGGCAAAGCTGTTCAGAATTTAGACATCATCTTGATGGATTTTTCCTGTGTTGTATATAAAAAAGACCTTCATCTCATTTGACTAGCTTTAGTTTGAAGTCTATTTTGTTAGATATTAGGATAGCTGCAATAGCTTCTTTATTAGGTCCATTTGTTTGGAAAATCTTTTTGCAACCCTTTACTCTGAGGTAATGTCTTCCTTTGTAGCTTATGTATGTTTCTTATATACAACAGAAGGATAAATTCTGTTTTTGTATCCAATCTGGTAGTATGTATCCTTTTATAGAGAACTGAGTCCATTAAAATTAAGGGATATTAATGACCAGGGATTGCTAGTTTCTGTTATTTTTGTTTTTGTTGTTGTTGTTGGCGGTGGTAGTGTGTGTTTCTCTTCTTTGGGATTTGCTGGTGTGAGGTTATCTAGTGCCTGTGTTTTGTGGGTGTAGCTAACTTTCTTGGATTGGAGTTTTCCTTTTAGTACTTTCTGTAGGGCTGGATTTGTGGATAGATATTGCTTAATCTGGTTTTGAAATGGAATATCTTGTTTTCTCCATCTATGTTGATTAAAGCTTTGCTGGATATAGTAGTCTGGACTAGCACCCATGGTCTCTCAGTATCTGCATAAGCCTGACTAGGACCTTCTGACTTTTATTGTTTCTATAGAGCAGTTGGGTGTAATTCTATTGAGCAGTTAGGTCTGCCTTTATATGTTACTTGGTCTTTTACTTTGCAGCTCTTAATATTCTTTCTTTATTTTATATTAGTGTTTTGATTATTATGTAATGAGGGGACTTTCTTTTTTTGGTCCAGTCTATTTGGTGTTCTGTAAGCTTCTTGTATTTTCATAGGCATGACCTTCCTTAGGTTAGGAAAATTTTCTCCTGTGATTTTGCTGAATATATTTTCTATACCTTTGAGCCTGACTTCTTCTTCTTTAATTCCTATTATTATTCGGTTCAGTCTTTTTATGGTGTCCCATATTTCTTGGCTATTTTGTGTTAGCATTTTCATTGACTGATGAATCTATTTCCTCTAACATATCTTCAAGGTCTGAGATTCTCTCTTTCATCTCTTGCATTCTGTTGTTTATGCTTGCATCTGTGGTTCCAGATCATTTACGTAGATTTTCCATCTCCCAATTTCCCTTGATTTGTGTTTATTTTAGTTTTCTCTCTATTTCAGTTTCCAAGTCTTGAACTGTTTCTTTAACTTCTTTGACTGCTTTTTCTTGGTTTTCTTTAAGGAATTTGTTGATTTCTTACAATTTTTTGTTTGTCTTTTCCTCTATTTAAAACAATTTTATTTTCTTTTTAAGGACCTCAATCATCTTCATAAAGTTATTTTTAATGTTGTTTTCTTCTGCTTCATCTGCGCTGGATGTTCAGGCCTTGCAGTTGTAAAAATCGCCAGTTTCTGGTGTTGTCTTGCTCTTTATGTTGTTGAGTGTATTCTTACCCTGTTGCCTACACATCTCTTCCTCCAATCAGAATAGGTAGAGCCTGTGTTTCTGGAGGGTCCATTTTCCTCCAATTGGTGTAGTTTGGGGGCTGTGGCTCCATTGATTCTTCTTCAGGTGTAGGCAGAGGAGAGCCTTTGATCATTGCTCCTCCAGGTGCCTAAGGGCCCGAGGCTCAGATGATCATACCTCCTGGTGTTGGCAGGGTTGAAGCTGAAGCTCCAGTGGTCAGATAATGTCTGGAGGCCACTGCTACCAACATGGCTTGCTGCATTGCTGCTCCCACTTCTCTTCCCAGTGACTTGTCCCAGTTCAACACACTGATCCTGCTTCTCCTCCCAGCAGCCTGACCCAGTCTAGCCCTTCATGCTGCTTCTTATGCTTCTCCTCCCAGACGTCTGGCCTGACCCTCTGTGCTACTGCTCACGTTTCTCCTCCCAGACGTCTGGCCTGGACTGGCCTTTTGCACTGCTGCTTATACTTCTCCTCCCAGTAGCCTGGCCTGGCTTATCTAGTTGTTGCTCACACTTCTCCCTGTGATCTGGCCTTGTCTGGCCTATCGCATTACTGCTTAAGCATTTCCTCTCAGCAGACTGGCGTGGCCACCCTCCTTACTGTTCGCCTTCTCCTCCCAGCAATCTGCAAGAATATTTTTTATTCAAAGCACCAGAGTAATATCAGTCTATGAACTAACATAGAAGAGGCAGGATCAGTAGGAAGGCCAAGGTATTTGTCAAACAAATTTAGGATCTGTGCTGATGACATGTTGCTGAGGATTCTCAGGAAACTCTTAGAACCTGATACATCCAAAGCTCCTACAGTAAGGATTTACTCAGGGTCAATAAAGGTGTCCAAAGAGACTTAAAGCATTTGTATGACATGAGCCCTAACATAGGATGTGGGGTATTGGTCTCACTGCTCCTGTTGGAGGTCACCATAGAAAGTAGAAGGCAAAGGCCCATGGGAAACATTATGGAGTAATTTTTAGAAGTTCCAGAGACCTGTAATAAGGGCTGTTTCTGCTTTGGTCTCTCTGTGATCATAAGGAATAGGCTCAAAAAGACCATATGACTCAGAGACTGGGCTTAGATGACACTTTTGTGACATGAGCATCTCATCCACTCATGACAGGAGAAGAGCAGTGTCAGGGACATTACAGCACTAAGATACAATGCATAAGTGGTAAAAGGATTAATGAATAATATGTCATTTTCCACAGATCTTCTCTTCATCTTCTGCCACATTGGACCCTGAATATCTGACATCACCTTTCTTAGAGAGACTGAGACTGTGGTGAAAAACTGTGGAAATCTGCACAAATGTCTTCATTACAAGGACACCTCCAACTCAGAAGTCTCTATTGTCCCTCTGCATAAGCATTGATAGCTCAGAGCTGTAATGTTTTGGTTATTGGATTCTATTTGGGAGGTTCTTAATTTCATTAATAAAAGAATTTTAAAATGTACTCAAGTGAAATTCCAAAGATAATCTGTTTAAGTTATGAGGGAATATTCCAAGTTCAGGCAAGTATACAACTCAACAATCTCACAAAGGAAGACAGTGGAGGAGTAAAGGGAGAAATATACTCAAACTGTTTAAGAAGGCATGGAGGTCAGACATTTGATGAACAAACTGCCACGTGATGTAAAGGGGGCACTTCTAGAAAAAGCTCCTTTGCTTTTTCTAGTATCAGAAAAGTTATACTTAGATTCAGTGAGCATCCAAAATCCAAATGAGACAGGAAACAAAAAGGAAAAGTTGTTCCTGTCTGATCTGGACACTGTTAAGATAGACAGACCCAACTGGACCTCAACATAGCATGTATGGACTGCACTGGGTAGGGAGAATTCTAGGAATGAAATGGATAGTATATAAACTAATAAGAAAAAGTTTTGACAAAATCTTACTAAATAGCCTTAGTAATAGAAGCAGTGAGGGAAATCAGAGAAACTTCACCTTTCATGATAGCCACGAATAGCAAAAAATATCTTGGGATAACTCTAACCAAGGAAGTGAAAGACCTATTTGACAAGAACTTTAAGTCTTTGAAGAAAGAAATTGAAGAGGATACAAGAAAATGGAAAGATCTCCCATTCTCTTGGATTGGGAGGATCAACATAGTTAAAATGGCAATTCTACCAAAAGCAATCTTTAGATTCAATGCAATCCCCATCAAAATACCATCAAAATTCTTCACAGACCTTGAGAGAACAATAATCAACTTTATATGGCAAAACAAAAAACCCAGGATAGCCAAAACAATCTTATATAATAAAGGAACTTCTGGAGGTATAACCATCCCTAACTTCAAACTCTATTACAGAGCTATAGTATTGAAAACAGCTTGGTATTGGCATAAGAACAGAGAAGTTGACCTATGAAATTGAATAGAAGACCCAGATATTAACCCACAAACTTATGAATACCTGATTTTTGACAAGGGAGCTAAAGGTATACAATGGAAGAAGGATAGCATCTTTAACAAATGGTGCTGGCATAGCTGGATGTCAACCTGTAGAATAATGAAAGTAGAGCCATATCTATCACCATGCACAAAACTCAAGTCCAAATGGATTAAAGACCTCAACATTAATCTGACCACTTTGAACCAGATAGAAGAGAAAGTGGGAAGTAGTCTACAAGACATAGCACAGGAGACCACTTTCTAGGTAGAACCCCAGTAGCACAGACAATGAGAGAATCAATGAATAAATGGGACCTACTGAAACTGAGAAGCTTCTGTAAAGCAAAGGACACTGTCAGTAAGACAAAAAGGCTACCTTCTGACTTGGAAAAGATCTTCACCAACCCCACATCAGACAAAGGTCTGATCTCCAAAATATACAAAGAACTCAAGAAACTAGACACTAAAACTCTAATTAACCCTATTTTAAAAATGGGATACTGATCTGAACAGAGAATTCTCAACAGAAGAACTTTACACCTGTTAGAATAGCTAAACTCAAAAATGCCAATGATAGCCTATGCTGGACAGGATGTGGAATGAGGGGAACACTCATTCATTGTTGGTGGGAATGCAAACTTGTGCAGCCACTGTGGAAATCCGTGTGGCGGTTTCTCAGGAAACTGGGAGTCAACCTCCCTCAGGACCCAGCAATTCCACTCTTGGGAATATACCCAAGAGATGCCCTATCATACCACAAAAGCATTTGTCCAACTATGTTCATAGCTGCACTATTTGTAATAGCCAGAACATGGAAACAACCTAGGTGCCCCTCAATAGAAGAATGGTTAAAGAAGGTGTGGAACATATACACATTAGAGTTTTACTCAGCGATAAAAAACAATGACATCTTGAATTTTGCATGCAAATGGATGGAAATAGAAACCGCTTTACTGAGTGAGGTAACACAGTCCCAAAAAGAGGAATATGGTATGTACTCACTCATAAGTGGATTCTAGCCATAATTAAAGGTCTTTGAGCCTATTATTCGTGATCACAGAGATGCTAAATAGGAAGGTGAGCCTGAAGAAAATCATATAGTTATCCTCCTGGATATTGTAAGTTGACAAGATTGCCAGGCAACCTTGGGTGCATGGGAGTTGGGGGGAGGGGGAGGAAGGAAGGGGAGATGGTTAGAGAGAAGGGAGTAGGGGAGGATTGTGGAAAGCTTGGAGGAAGGGAATGGGTGGGAGGGAGGAAGGATGGATATGGGAGCTGGGAAGTATATATCTCAACTAAGGGAGCCATTTTAGGGTTTGCAAGACACTTGATTCTAGAGGGGTTTCCAGGTCCAAGGAGAGATCAGCAGATTGTTCCCTGACAGCAGAGGAGAGGGTGCCTGAACTGGCCTTGGCCCATAACCATTCTGATGAATATTTTGCATATCACCATAGAACCTTCATCTGGCGATGGAAGGAGATAGAGACAGAGACCCACATTGGAACACTGGACTTAACTCCCTAGGTCCAAATGAGAAGCAGGAGTGAGAACGTGAGCAAGGAAGTCAGGATCAGAGGGAACCTTCATCCGATGATGGATGAAGAGTGAGACAGAGACCCACATTGGAGCACTGGACTGAGCCCCCAAGGTCCAAATGAGGAGCAGAAGGAGGGAGAACATGAACAAGGAAGTCGGGACCGCGAGGGGTGTGTTCACCCACTGATACAAGGAGACTGATCTAATGAGAGCTCACCAAAACCAGCTGGACTGGGACTGAACGAGCTTGTGATCAAACCGGATTCTCTGAATGTGGCTGAAACGGGGACTGTCTGAGAAACCATTGATAATGGCTCTGGGACTTGTTTCCTCTGGATGTACTGGCTTTTTGGGATCCTGATCTGTTTGGATGCTCACCTTCTTGGACCTGGAGAGAAGGGGGAGGAACTTGGACTTCCCACAGGGAAGGTAACCCTGACTGCTCTTAGGACTGGAGAGGGAGGAGGAGAGGGAGTGGGGGGAATGGGAGGGTATTGGGAGGAGGGGCGGAAGTGGAAAGAGAGATTGCTCATTGCTTATTCCCAGAAAAAGCCAGGCAAATTCTTAATTATGCAGTAATAAATATGCAAATTAAGGAATTTCTTAAGAGAGAAGAAAATGTAGATCCTTCCATGTCTCTTCATACATCTCTAAACCTTGAAAAAAACAACTGGGCAGCTACAGTTTAAGATATCCCTCATTTTCATTTCTGGTTTGCTCTCAGTACTGCTGCTACACCTTCCACCTGATGCCACACTGTCCCTACCATAATGGGCTCTAGACCTCTGAAAATCAAAGTCAAAGAACTCTCTCATCTGTTTGTTGTCCTGGTATTGTGTTTTTTACACCAACAGAAATGCAACTGAAGCAACGAGATTCTGTTTTTTCTTTATGAATAAATAGTACTCTATTCAGTATTACATTGTATATTTCCCATATTTATCTGATGGTGGTTTAGTTTTATAATCTTGATTTAGAATTAATAAATTCTAGATTGTGTGACAAATTTTGGTCTTAATTTTTACAGGAACTGTTTTTGATGACAATCTGCACTCCCACCAGCAAGGCACAAGATTTTAATTTTTCCACATTCTTGCTCATAATCAAATCCTTAATACATCCATTGCCTTTTGCATAGCATTTCCATAATCTAAGGTGTTTTGTGACAGCATCCTGGAGACACTAATATAATCAGTGCCATCTGATGTCTTTCTATGTGTTTGATGTTGACTGGTCTATCTTCTTGGGGGGAATTTTCTATTGAGAGTATTTTCTTTTCTTAAAGTCAGCTTGCTTCACTTTGTCACATTTACCTATTGTTAGTATTTGGCTCTCAGAAATATAGTATTTAAAATAAATTCCTATCATTGTGAGTTAAAAAAAAACAATGAGGAAGTATTGTCCTAGAGGCAGGCTTCAAGTTCTGATTATGCTTCAAATACACATTTATTTAAAAAGGTGAAAGTTCATGTCCACCTAGCACTTTTGATCATTTTAAATGTATTTTTGATATCCTTTAAGATAGATAAGGCAGGAAATAAATTTTGATCGATTCTGACAATATATAATTTATGCAGTTATTCAGTAAAAGCAAACAGTAATAATTGTAAATTCTAGTAGCAATATTTTGAATGATAAAAGAAAATATTAAGGACAACTATGTAAGTATTTTTAAATTGATCATAGTAATCTGTCAATTAGAATCCAGCAAGAATTGGATGCTGGATAACATTATCTAATATTTGGGTTGCATGAGAGGATCTGCTGTGCTGGTATTCTAAAAGTATTAATACTTTCCTGTAGTAGGAGGCTGTTTGCTCATTTCCTGGCCACCCAGACTCCAGAAATAACCACACGGAAACTGTATTAAATTGCTGCTTGGCCTATCAGTTCTAGCTTCTTATTGGCTAGCTCTTACATCCTAATTTAATTCATTTCTATTTATCTGTGTATTGCCACATGGCTATGGCTTACCGGCAAGGTTCCAACTTGTCTGTCTTTGGTGACTACGTGGCATCTCGCACCTCTGCCTTCTTTCTCCCAGAATTCAGTTTAGTTTTCCCCACCTAGCTGTACTCTGCCCTATCATAGGGCAAGCCAACTTCTTTATTCATTAACCAATAAAAGCAACACATATACAGAAGGACTTACCACACCACTGTCCAACTTTAGTTATGTCCAGAATACCTGAAGTTAAATTTGAGGCACACAGAGAGGAAAACAGTGTATAACCACTAAGTGTTTGAGGTTGTTCCAAAGATGAAGGGCAGTAACCACAGCATCAAGGTAACCAGTACTGACACCATCAGCACCCACTGCATGATGCCTTCTACAGTGAATAGCATTGGTGCTCAAAGAGATGCTGATTTGTGAGCAGTTCAACCCCAGCTGTGGGACTCACAGTCCTACTCTCTGTCCCTCACACCATTCTTGTCAAAATGTAGGCAAGCTCAACCCTCTCCTGACACCTCATGCTGTGTATACTCCAGTAATAAGCATGGAAAACACAATAGACTGGTCAAAGT